ATCACGTCATTTACACAACACATCTTTTCACAAGTGTTTAAGTAAATTCACCATCAATTTTTAATACAAATAAAACTCAAAGCCCAGAAAAAAACTTCAAAGAAATCACTGCATTTCATCTAGATACAAGTTTCACACCAAGACAAATGATAAGTAGCCCAAAAAGGCCAAACCAGACAACTTCATTTAAATATCAACAAGTTAATATATATTTTTGTAGATCTGAATTTCAGTACACCATACAACTTTAAAATTGTCTTTAAAATTGTGTTCTATCACATTTGTACGTGATGTTCTCATCCACCTATGTAAAATATCCAATATATTTCTTCCCAAAAATGAAATCAGAGGTACTCACATCACTCTGCAGATCATAGGCCTTCCTAGCATGGATAACATCGTTCTGGTCCGGCAGGCAGATCCACTGATGCAGATAGTGGCGGTAATCAACATCGCTGACCAGCTCCTGACATTTCTTGGCCAACACAATTCCCAGCATGTCCACGGGGCTGCTGAAGTGCGTCTTGGTCTTCTCAAAGGCTTTCTTGTACTCCCTGTCACTCTGGATCTTGGCTACGTGCATCGACCACATCATCTTCGGATCGTCCTCTATGTTGCGGGCTCCAATGTGGTGGCCAAGCTGCTTGCGGTACCCTTCCTTATATTTGTACTGAAATATAAATCAAGATACTACATTTATATAGAGAACATAATATCAGTTACTCATGTAAAATGTTTTAATAATAAACTCTCTAAAGTTTTTTGTAATCTACAACCAACAAATATACATTTAAAGTAATTCTGGGGCTAATAACATGGATCCCTAGGTTAAATTTCTGACATTTGTTTTAGAACAGTAAACAGAGAGGAAGAAATATTTTTTTTAAGTAATTCTTCTCTAATGTTACTGAGAAATAATCTTGTTTTACACATACTGCTAAGACCATGACAGCAGCATTACCTTATCCATATCTTTTACAATTAGGCCATTATACATACATAATTTATTTCCAAAATGCGCTTTTTAGATGAAAGTTAAATTTAAACTTCTTTTATAGAAATAATCCGAACATTTTTATATTGTAGAGATCTGATGTCAAAACACACAAAAAGCCAAAACATTAGTGTCTTACATCACTGGCAATTTGCCTGGATGCTTTGGCAGCCTGAATTGGGATAGCATCACTTCTCAAATCATAGCCTTTCTTTTTTGCTTCTTCCATGGCTTGTTTGTACAGTTTCTAGGTAAAGAAAAAAAACAGGATTAATGCAGCTAAACTTCATATGTTGCATTCCGTGCAAAACAAATTGCTTGTGAGTAGGTTAAAAAATTGTTAAGATTTATTCTATCCTGGTTTTATCTAACTTCCCTTATTCAAATCTCCAGATGAGTAACTCATGAATCTATACTGAATGAAGACTTTTGGTAACTATGATAATAATTTTTTTCTTTCTAAACTTTGATAACATAACATACATTACAACTTGATAGATAAACTATTCCTCTACATACAAGTAGAATGAATCTTCCTAAAACCACCTCTTACTGATGTGAATACTTCTGCCTAAACTAACTGAACACCGGGAACAATAATCATCACAACTGTGAAGGAATTCTTTTTTTTTTGCATCTCTAATGGAATTAATTTTCCAGCAATACACATAATGGCAGAAAGAACCCCCCCAAAATTCACCAGAGATGCAGCTGTCACAGAATTTATTCAAAGCAATGGTCACAGATGTATGTATATACTACAAACTATGTTTCGAAAGTCACAATTTTGATTACAGATATTTGATGTTACTTAAAGAAATCGATCTATAAAAATATCTACTTTAAGGTTATAAGAATATTGACACAAAACATATGGAGGTCTATCACACTCACCTCACTGTAGTTATGCATATTCTGTTTTGCCAGTGTGATTTCAGGTGTGTCGGGCATGATGTGAACTTGCGTCTTGTCTTTATCCCAGGCCTCAGTATACAAACGCTGCAAGAGAAATGCCATAGGTTAAGCAAAGAAAAAAAAGATGACAACTCAGACATCCCATACAACAGAAGAATGTATTCCTAGTCTAAAAAGTCCTTATTTCTTACATAGTAGTGAGATTTATGTTCATTTCTCTAAGTGTTTAAATTTCAGGTTAAGCATTCGTAACGCAGAAACAATTCTGCTTCAAAGAAAATATTTAGAAAAAGGCCTTTCCACAGAATGCACATCAGACACACAGACCTGAACTCTACAAACAACATCACACTCAAAGAGGAAAGGGCTTTATTGACATAAATAGGGTTGAATGAGATTAGGGCATCAGATTCACAAAAATACTTACATTGTAAGAACTATGTTGAATTGTTTAAAATACAGATAATTAAAAGACTGCTTTGAAACAAATAATTTATTAACTCCTACATCACTGGACACCTTTGATCAATCATTAGACAAGTAGCTAAATTTTATATCAAAAATTGGATGAAAGATAACATGGTACTAAATACTTGTTAGAGCATGTAAAGAGCTTCAAAACTTTTAATTACAATTTAACTTGGTAGCTTGGAAAATACTGCTGTGTATAATAGCAGCTAAAAATAAGTTACATTCTTGGTAATCAACGAGTAACCTAGATTTTTAGAGTCTTGCTACGCTGAAAACTCGTGCAGCAACCACAGAGTTGTATTTCTAGAGTTCTATCTCACACCTGCAGCATTATTTGTGACCATGTTACTTCTAGTCTTCTGTCTCCAAGGGTTAGCAGGAGAATGCCAATACGTTGCTAAACTGAATCAGGACTCACCTTATTCATCATCTCTGCATTATGCTTAGCTAAGTTCATCTCCAGAGAATCAGTAACACTCGTAAACTTGATGGTGTCTGGAGGCTGACGGTAGACTTTGTCACTCAAGATCTGTCCTGCCCTCTTGGCTTTTTCAATATCCAAGGAACCAATGGGGACCCAACCAATGCCACGCATCCACTCAAGGTCTGACTTGTAGAAATTCTATTACAAAAAAATACGAAGACAGACATCTTTTTAAATTCCAGTTAAACTTCACATATATCATACGAAAACAATGCTTACTTTCTGTTAGTCATTTTTCTCCTAGTTCAGTCTGCAAAATAATCTTTGTTAACAACACAGATCTAGATCGCAAACTTACTCCAAGCTACAACTCTCAACAGCATGAAGGAGAATAGCCAAGGAGTAATTAGAGGAAATTAAGACTTAGAAATTCAGCATAAATGTTTCCAGCAAGATAAATTCCTAACAATGAGAAGGTCATTCACAAAGAGTAAGTTCTAATTTAAATCATTTTCCCAAGTGAGAAAGGAGGAGCATTCACCCCTAGAGTCATGCAACTTAAAGCAAAAATCTAGGCAATGAAAACTTAATATGGAGTTAGTCTGCAAAAAATGGCACTAAGATTTTCCATTATGAGAGTACACAGAGAATTTCCTTTCATTCTGCTAAGAGATTAGCTGAACTAAAATCTCCATAGTACTCAGCATTCCATATTTATGTTCAGTACTAAGAGTCCTCTGACCTTGCCTTGGAACAAGTACAGAGAAACAAAATGAGAAAAACAACTGCGTGAGAGAGAGTTCAAAAAGCTCCCACATTTTGTATGAAGCAGCCTGTACCTTCCATATGTTAAGGACAAGAAATTACGTACAATTTTGAAATTGATCAGTAAGTACTCACATCACTCTGCAGATCATAGGCCTTCCTAGCATGGATAACATCGTTCTGGTCCGGCAGGCAGATCCACTGATGCAGATAGTGGCGGTAATCAACATCACTAACCAGCTCCTGACATTTCTTGGCCAACACAATTCCCAGCATGTCCACGGGGCTGCTGAAGTGCGTCTTGGTCTTCTCAAAGGCTTTCTTGTACTCCCTGTCACTCTGGATCTTGGCTACGTGCATCGACCACATCATCTTCGGATCGTCCTCTATGTTGCGGGCTCCAATGTGGTGGCCAAGCTGCTTGCGGTACCCTTCCTTATATTTGTACTACAGGCAAAAAAAATTTTAATTAAGTTTATTTCAACTTTCTTGACATATTAAGAACAGTCCACATAGAAAAACCTCCAGAAAACTTAGTGTGTGAAACCACAGTACTGTTAAATCAGATACTTCACTCATAAACTATAATGTGCAAAGCAAACGAAGAAATGACCAAATAATTTCTGTCCCTTAGAATTTAAGTATTTACCAAAGCCTTGGTTTATATATTGATTCTCCCCAGTATGTGAAGATATAAAAGTCTGAAATTACAGCATCAACAAAACACATAAAAAGTTCAGAAAATCTACCCTTCCCCATAAACAGTCAGTAAATTAATCTCAAGGAAAAAGGTAAAAAAAAATCCTCCTATTTAGTCTCGACTGATGACATTAATACTGGAACAGTATGGAAGAAAAAAGAGAGTGTAAACAAAAGCAATCGTAACAAGGAATTATAAAAAATAACATTCAATTACTAATAAAAAAACTATTTTTACATTCAAATCAACAATTCTGCAACCGCTATGTTCAGAAAAAATAGGAGCAGAGTAGACTGAGAAATGGGCCTTTGAAGAAGTCATCCACACAAAATTAAACCAAAAGGCCAAATTCTCAAGTAAAATCAAAATTCTAAATGAAGACACAGGAAGGATAACACAGACATAAGTTGCAAGCAGTGACAAAGCAACCAAGTCGGCGTGCCACCAAGGCTCCCGTGTACTTACATCACTGGCAATGTCCCTGGAAGCTT